TTGTTAATATGAAATGTAATTTTGTTTTCAGGGATTTCAAATCAATTTATATTATATTAGACAATGGAAGTCTGAGATGATGAATGATGAAATATGCAATGTAATCTTCAATATAGGTATATGTAGACTATGAAGTCAAAGATTTTAAATTCTTGTTTCTGCAAAGTATGTCAGTAAAATGTTTCTTGAAAATAATTCGATCTTTTTGTTACGTATTTAAAAATCACTTCATTTTGAGATTTTCACTAAACAGTTTTACAAAAACGCAACACATGTTTAGCCATACAATGGCTCCATCAGTGTAAAGACACGCCCGAACACGGAAAACAAATGCATTTTCTAATAATTTTGCAATCCAGTATGGAAATAAATGTTAGATAAGCGAATATAATATAAAAAACGCAATTGTTCATTATTCATGGACTCGTTTTTTTGTTTGGACGTTCAAAAACGTATTTTGAAGTTTGGCTTTTAGCATGAACGTAGAAAAAGTATATTTACATTGCTTTATAGAAAAGTTTACAAATAATTTTCACCACTCTGTATATTATCAAAATTTTTTAATAAAACCGTCGACTCACCCGGATTGTTCATCTCGCAGGTGCTGGTATAAAAGTCGACCATGAATCAAAATTGTTGAAGCTGGTCCTTAGAATCGTAAACACGGAACACGTGTGCGTCGCGACGCGGTTAGCAAGACGCTCGATCCGTCACCGACGCTCGCCGGCCATCAACTGGTGGATTCGCAGGACTCGCGGCTGGCGGTAAGAGCAAATCGCGCTTCTTCGCAGGAAGAGAAGATAGAGCGGTATTGGATCCTGCTGTTGGTTAAATAGCTAGCAGAAGTGATTAGAATAATTTAATTAGCATTTTGTTGTGAGATTTTCACTGGACAGTTTACAAAACCGTAACACGTGTTTTACGGCGGGTTGGCTGTCCTTGTTCATCTTTCACTGCCTGAACCACTGTGCACTGTGAACCACATCCAGCCATCGGATGTCTGCTTCCACGTAGCCCCGCTGGATACGAGAATGACAGAATCACTTGTGGTTCTGTTATTCCCTAACTGAATGGCATCCCAACGACCGAGTCGTCTCCTCAAGAGCGGTGTACCTTATGAAACCGCCTTGCACCAAAATCTTGAGCGGCAAAGGCAGAATCTGTCTCAGGTGAAGGAACAAACCCCCCATGAGCAGGTTATAGTAAACGTTTACGCTCAACTCATGATTCACCAAAACCAGAGACGAAAACGCCCTGCACGGGTGAATCTAAGGCATCGTCAGGTGTAGCTGATGTGCAAAAACCCTCATATGGGAAGATTGTCGCGGGTATCATGGTGGAAATCTTGCACCTTGACTATCCGACTACCTCATTAACGATGAAACAGCAGAGCACATACTTTGTGCCTGCCCCGCTGGGTACCGAATCAGGTTTATAGAGTTCGGCAGAGCCGTACTCGTACCATCTGACCTGAAAGACCACTCACCATACAAACTAATCGGCTTCGTTAAGAAATTGGGTTTAGTTGGTCAAGTGTGAATGGGTTTGAGCCACAATAAACTCTTGCGGGTTGCGGTGGAGGATTGAATAGACCCACTCACTTTGGCCTTAGCTAACCTAACGTGTTTTACTATGGCAACAGCTATCGTAACGCTTGGAGATTAATACATTTTAGAATTCTGAAAATTCACTGGATGACCAAATGGAATAGAATCCTTCACCTCTTTTAAGCTGTAAACTGTAAACTCGTAATTAGTTAATTACGTGTCTATTCAATGAGTTTGTCAACATTTTTTTAGGATGTTTATATTTTTGATTACATTTTTATATTTCATAATTTTACCAACAAACATTATATTAAAGAAGAAAGTAAAACAAGTCATGAAATTATGAAACTACACAAATTAATTGGCGCTCCGGGGCGACTTCATTGATTCCAGTGGCGCATTTGCTTTTTCAGCTGCAGGAAAACCCGGAAAAACCTGCAGCACCACATCAAGATCTTTGAAAAAGTATTTTAAGGGAATGTGATGATCCGTGTAAAGAAGAAAGTAATACAAATCATGAAAATATGAAACAACAAAAATTAATTGGTGCTCCGGGGCGACTTCTAATGATTCCAGTGGCGCATTTGCTTTTTCAGCTGCAGGAAAACCCGGAAAAACCTGCGGCACGACATCATCTGAAGATCTTGATCTGCCAATGTCCTTTCTTTCATAAAACAAAATGTAGGGTGTCTCCAGAGGTTTCAATAAATTCAAGACAGGATTGCAAAATGTGGTTCTTAGCGCCCTTCCGATTTTAAATATTTCACAAATCTATTGTTAGGTACTTAACACGGAAAACCAATAAACGTAGCAACATTCGCATTCAATACATCGACCTCGATCAGTTGTGAATTCCGTATCGCCCGCTGTCAAATGCGAATGGGATCATTTTCTAAAGAGATTGGAAATTGATTGTATCTCGGCGTGGCACTCATAGCAGTAGTAGTAGTCTGGTTTATTATTGTTACTTTGACAAATAAACAGTTTGTCGAGCAGATTATCGAAAGTTACGCGAAAAGAAGTTAAAATATGCTGCTGCATCACATTCTCAAATGAAATAAAATGTTTGTAAAACTTTCAATTCGTAAGTTCCTAATTTTCAGTTGAAGATCCAAAATCGTATTCATTATGAAAACTTACACATTTACAGAGAAACAAAAGAACGATTAATTCAACTCAAAGTTGTGTAGAGGAATAGGTTCCAAATAAACCTGACACTACGGAGAGTATGGTCAGTACGGAGTCAACATTTCTTTATGTTCCATCCACATCAACCGATATAGTAAGAACAAAATCCGATTTTTCATTAGGTTTTGCTGATTTAAAATTCACGGAAATAAATTATAATTCGGATTTGGATAGTGATAGTACTGAAGAACAAGACGATTCTAATAAGATGTCCGTACTAAAACAATGTTGACTACACGAGTTCCTCGATGTTAATGAGCTCTCGCCCCACTACGCCAGCTAATCTACTGCGTATCCAATATTCAGAGGCACAGCTAGATTTGCAAAGCTGTAATTGTTGTATATTTGTTGTAATAATATTGTATTAGTATTTATATTAATTAATTTGTAGTTTTTTCAGTTTCCCAACACATTATAGTGTCTTATATTGGATCCTAGGGTCATTGTATCAGCAGTTTTTCTTCTGAATAAAGGATTTTATACGTCAAGAGAATTGTCAAATATTGTAGTTTTCTTTTGTTTCGTTATACCAACAAACGAAAAGTGCCGCTACATTTCAAAACAATATATTTCACATTAAAACACAAAAACGTAAAAGATGTGTATATATTCCATAAAAAAGGTATAACCAAAAAGGAACACATTCAAAGTAAAATATCATCATTTCTAAAATTGTAGAGCATCATATAAATAAAAAGATAAATAAGTCTTTATAAAAACTCCATCTCCCTCTCAATGCCGACGAATTTGAGTTGTTCTGTTGGTCCATACCTGCAAAAAACAAATTATTGAGCCTCATTATTCATAAGTACTTTTTGAAATTATCAAGCATGTGCTGTTAATCGCACGTTAAAAAGTACGACCTCGTTAGTCTCAACTCGTATAACTTTATGGAGCTGTCGTTCCTTCAAGATCGACAGCTGATTAACAGAAACGTTCGTGCCCAAAAATTGAAACCAGTAGTTCAAATGTCTCACTAAAAAATTATAATTTGATAAAAAATAATTGTTTTTTTTTACTTCTCAATTGAAAGTATTTCATAATATGCTACTGATATGAGAGCGCAACTAGTACAAGACTTGACATGAGAGATCGGTAGTTCAAATGTTTCACATATAATTAGGAATTTGACAAAAAAATAATTCCTTTCGGTAATACAAATCTCTTATGCAAAAAGAAAATTCAACAAAATATAATTGGATACCGTCTCCTGGAAATCTTGATGAGACATCAGTAGTTCAAATGTATCTTCATTAAAATTATTTGGAATATTTCGCACTGGTGCAAAACTTAATATATCACTAGTTCAATATATAGTTTAATATATCATTTCTAACATCTTCAATAGTCAAAGGAATAAAATTTACCTATAATCGAAAAACAACTCTTCTCCTGGCTGTATAGGCCTCTTGGCAAAAATTCCAATTCTATGATCTCCATTCACCATCATAACCTTGGCGTAGCAGTTCGGATTGATGGAATGATTGGCGAATCTAATTTTGTTTCCCTTCCTAGTGGCATCCACAACAAAATCTGCGAAAGACATTAACCAAATTTCATCTCAGAGCTAAAAAACGAGGTGGAGACATTCAGAAGAACCGAATACAGGTTAAGTTACTCACCGTTATTCAAATTGAAGAGAAAACTGCACATGTACTTATCGTACACCTTTCCTCTTCTATCTGCCTCGTCCTGAGATATAATTTCTCCACAATATTCCGAGATGAACTCGTTCTTCTGGGCGCTGTCTTTCAGGAAGATTCCCCAGCCGGCCACGTCTGAGGGGGCCATCAAAAGATGTTTATCTAGAAAAAAAAAAAACACAATATTACAAATGAAAAATAATGACAAGTAAATCTAAACTTACGTAAACCTCTCTGCACGCTGACGTTTTTGCAGGTAATTTTCGTGTTGTCAAATTGGTCTGCGCCGCAAGTCTGACACAGGTCCGGGTCACATTCTCGCACTGCGAGATAGCAAGGGCACTGTTTGGTGTTGCATTGGGCTTTGCAGCGGCATCCAGGGAATCTATTCTGACCTGAAAAATGTAATGTATGCTTCAACAAATCTTAAATGACTACTCTGATTCTCTCTACCAATCCCAAACTTCTACGTCTTCACTTCACCAACCTCTGATTTTTTCTCTTTATCATTCTTCCTAACTCACTCTCTTCTCTCTAGGAACCTCCAAAAATACAAACTTTCTCTTCCTACCTCCTTTCATTTGTAACTATCTTCACTAATCTATCCTATACCCTTTTATCGTTTCTATTTTTTAATATATCTCTTGTCATACCCATTTTTGTCTCTCTCTAGCCCTCTAGTATCTCTAGCTATTTGCTCTTCAGCTATCTAGTATCTCTAGCTATCTGGTCTCTTTAGCTCTCTAGTTTATGTAGCTCTCTAGCCTCTCTAGCTCTCTCTAGTCTCTCTAGCTATCTAGTCTCTCTAGTTATCTGGTCTCTTGAGCTATCTAGTATCTCTAACTATCTGGTCTCGTTAGCTATCTAGTCTCTCTAGTTCTCTAGTCTCTCTAGCTCTCTAGTTTCTGTAGCTCTCTGGCCTCTCTAAGTATCTAGTATTTTGAGCTCTCTAGTCTCTTCAGCTCTCTAGTTTATGTAGCTATCTAGCCTCTCTAGCTCTCTGGTCTTTCCAGCTCTCCAGTCTCTCTAGCTATTTAGTCTCTCTAGCTATCTGGTCTCTTTAGCTATCTCTAGCTATCTAGTCTCTTTAGCTATCTGTTTATAGTTCTCTAGTCTCTCTAGCACTCTAGTATCTTCAGGTCTCTAGTTTCTGTAGCTCTCTAGCTCTCTGGTTTTTTCAGCTCTCCAGTCTTTCTAGCTCTCCAGTCTCTCTAGCTATCTAGTATCTCTAGCTATCTGGATCTAGTCTCTCTAGTTCTCTAGTCTCTCTAGCTCTCTAGTCTCTTCATCTCTCTAGTTTCTGTAGTTCTCTAGCCTCTCTAGCTCTCTAGTCTTTCCAGCTCTCTAGTCTCTCTACCTTTCTAGTCTCTCTAGTCTCTCTAAATCTCTAGTTTCTGTAATATATCATCTCATCTTCCTTTTTTCATCAATTAATGTACAAGTACTTTTCATGAGTACATTTCAGTCAAATTAATTGTACTTTAATAGTATTCAATTTCAACAAAGGTTGGGTAATCTTCTGATGTCAAAATGGTTGGCGAAATATGTGTCAATCTTCTGATAGATTCATTCTGTGGCAATCAAATGCTACCTGTCATTCAACAAAGTCTCTAAGAAGCAATTGATTCAATTCTACTGTTGTCAATTTGAAGTGTATCTGTTCAAATACAAATAGTCCTAATAATCATAACAAAAGAAAAACTTGTATTTTGATAGTCTTCAAGTCTGAAAATGATATTATTCGATACACTGTAGCACAAGTGATTCAAAATAATACTGGCGTTGTTATACTTACAATCTGAGCTGCACTGGCAGAACTTCTCACAGAAATTCTGAGCCCTGATGCAGGGACAATTGTGGTCGCAATTCTGTCCAGGATGATCACAAGGCGTGAAGTTGTACACGTGATTACTACTGGATTCCTTCTTCAGCTGAATCTTACGGCAGTGCATGGACCAGAGGCGGTGCTTCTTCTTCTTCTTGCGAGGAGGAGTGTAGTCCCGCATCGCCTCCTCCGGAGGAATATCAGCCGCCTCTTTGCGAGCAAAGTCATAAATCTAAATATTTAAATGAATACTATTAACATATCTCAAATATCCTGTGTGGTTCATGAACTCTTCAGTTGTTGAAATACCTGATATATTTAAAAATACATTATTAATAAGTACTTTCAAAGTACTTTAATTGTACTTAGTTCCATACTTAATGATACTTATTAAATACAATGAAGTTTACATTAAAAATAAAGTATTTTCACCCTTATGAACTCGAAGTACATTAAAGTACTTTAAAAAGTTCTATCAAGTATTGACAAAGTATTTTCAGTGCAACAATAGATAGGTGCATTTTTCACTGACTGTACTTACTTGTTGGCAGGTTTTGGTTAGCATAATCTGGGCAATGGCACAATAATTATTGAGGAATACTTTGTGAAGGGCCCTGAAAAGGCTTTCATCGGAACCGGTCCATTCTTTATTATCATTAGCTCCCATAAGCCCCAGCAAGGTGAAAGATGTAGTTGTGGAAACCGGATCAACACCGTCGCTGTCTGTAAAATAAGCACGGGATTAAAAACAGTTGAAAATTTGATTCAACTTTCTTGAATCATTTTTTTTTCTCAAGATCTGCACTACCTTTGAATTTGTTACTGTCGTTGCTATCTTCGGAGCTCGCTTCATTCCCCGAGTCTACACTCTGCTGTTTACAGATTTTCCTGGGATTGGTAGGGGTAGCTCCTTTGACTTCGAGAGTCTCATTTTTGACGGCCACCTTTCCTTTGACTTCTTTCTCACATTCTTCTTCCTGTTTAGCTCTGGCAGCTATTTTTTCTTTGACAGCATCCTTCAAAAGAAAATCAATATTGTCGAAGTACATATTCAAACAGTTATACTAAAATCAGTTGTGCAAATACAATATTTTATAGGAAATGTTTATTACATTGGCAGACTATCTCTTATTGAAATAAGAAATGCCCCAAGGATACAGTACTGGGCCTCTTCTCTTCACAATGTATACAAGTAAATTGTTAAATTCTTAATACATTGTCGAATTCACCTCTATAAGGATGACAACTCCAATACTCAGTGCTAGATTATTGAGACTGAGTAATGCATTCAATTTATTTATCCAAACCAGAAATATGGAGATTATAATTGTAAAAAACAACCAGATAGATGGGAAATACATTCAAGCAAACACACAGTTCTTTCTAATGAATCTACAGTAACAGAAGATGTATTTCAGAGAATGTTAAAACAATCTTCTGTGGTTATTTGATATAATAAAAATGTATGTTATTTGTAGAAGAAATATTGATACAGGATGAAATAAATATTTATGATTTTCATCACAATCAACTACACAATATTCTGCTATTTACCAAAATAATGATTGACAGACTGTGATTTCACATTCAAATACATTTTCTTTACCCTAAAGAAAAATTTTTCCATGCCAGAACAAAAATATGAATGTTCTCCTGAGGATGCTAACTTGGTTAGCGAAACAGGTATCGAGAGACAGTGTTTTTGTTCTGATGTGGTCAAAGTGTTTTCTTTAGATTCATTTCATCTAATCTCTAGACATGGTCTGAATATTTATATCAAATTTGTGTTAATTATAATAATACACTCACCAACAACATGTAACAGTCGGACCCACATGGTTCTGTGAATGGTTTGAGATCAGGACCTCGTCTTTTCTGCAAATTCGGACCAGGATGACAAGCTTGAAGTCCTAATTCAGAAACACAATGATAGAGTCCCGATTCTTGGAAAGCAATTCAAATCCCTTTTTTTATTACCCTATGAGAACACTTTTCAGATGAAAATATGGAATTCCCCAGTGACAATAATTGAACTTGAATTATTTTTTCATTAAATGAAATGATGATGATGATGATGAAGATGAGCTATTCTGTGTGATCTATTAATTGAGGCTTTACCTTGAGGTCCTACAGGGTGCAGCAAAACAAAATACACAACCTGATGTACAGGTGGTACGGTGAAAGTATCTAGCTAAGATAAATCTAATACTCCTTTCATATATAGTCACTAAATAAGTCACGATGCATTCATGAGAAACGATAATCATATTTCAGAAAAAAAAAATCATCAGAAGATCTAATTAATTAAGGTTTACTTCAAGAATACACCATGTTGAATAAATGAAAGTAAGTTGCAATCGAACACTTACTATGTAAGAAACAGTCATATTTGAAGCAGCGCCTGCAGAATAGAGTGTGAAAGGAATGCATTGTTTGCTCCCTTGGCACAGACGCAGCCATGGGGCCATCGATATTAGGTGTACACTCCGGTGGAGCATTGGGATCTGTTCGTTCTGTTAATTCGACATACCTGAAAAAACGTTAAAGTCAAACATCGTTAAAGGAGAAGTTTATTGTGAAGACTGTCCACAACTTATGGACACAGGAAAAATATTAAAGACATTTAGATACATTCACATTTGATTAAATTTAGCTTGTGTACAGTATTTACTAAAATTATTGTTTTAGATCCTCAATCATGACATATTGATATTTGATGGCTCATCAAGCATCCCAAGTCAAAACTTGGTGCTCTGATCTACTTTCCCAAATATGCCAGTCAAAATGGACTATATATATTATGTCTAATTGATACAGTTCAAAAACAACATACTTGTCTCTCAATTCCTCAGGGCCTCCTTTATCAGGAAACTGCAATGAGATTGCCTGAAATATCACAAAAGCAGGAAATTCCAGCTCTTCCTTCTTCTCTTTGCTCTCTTCCTCCTGATCTTTCTCCTTCTTCTTATCAGGCTTTTCCTTCTCCTGATAGTGCATCAAAGCGTGCACCAGTTCCACAAACAGTTCATCGTCGATAAAACCAGATTCTCTGTCGCCATGTACCTTTCCATCATAATTTTTTATCAGCTCCTCAATGAAAGTGCCGTCTTGATCCAGTACCTCATCGCCCATATAGGGGATATTATGGAGTACGGTCTCGTCTTCGACCATGAAGTTCTGTTGGATAGGGGCCCAGGTATACATTGTCGGTATAGGAGTGACGGCATTGATTATTTTTATCGGAGCCACTTGGATGTCTCCCTCGTTTCCGATAACTTCTGCCTTCTTCATACAGGCGACGTGTGCTGGCAATTCGGGCGTTTGCACCCAATGAGCTTTAGTTTCGGTCCATCTCTTCTGTTCTTCTATGAGGGTTTCTGTCATTCGATTGCGATTCTGGTTCCAAGCTAGTTTCACGTCATCTGCTCTCTTGTATCTCTTCTGTTGCCGCAATCGCATGTATTCCTGCTTAACACGCTTTTTCCATTCTGCACTCACTTTTGCCCTGGACATTTTTCCAGTAACTCAGAAATATACCAACTTGGAAAAACACCTGGCCAATCCTACTTCTGGCCAAAAATGGTCGACTTTAATCGTTAGGTTTCATCAAATAATATAAATAAAATTCCTTAAATTAAATAAGGATAATAAAAATATATTTGACATTAATGTATAAAGCCCCCAAAATCCTTAACCCAACCTCTCGAACAGTAAAAAAGAGAAGAATGAGAAGTCAAATGTCTGGACCACAGCACAGAATACCCTAACTACAGGTGTTCTGTGACCACAGTGCCAATATTCAGTTTCAGAACTGTCAGTATAGTGGGTAGCGTTGCAGCCTCTGAAATTTCAAATTATGGAATTTTAACCTAGACAAATGAAACAGGATTTTTTTATGAATGGCTTGAACCAACAGAAACGCACTTACCAACAAATTGATCAATCGGATCAGTCGGCGAACTCTTCGTTGCATTTCAATACTCTCCTAAGTGATTAACCAACGACAACAAAATACACCTAATAAATTATATCTTGCAATGAATGAAAGAGTATAGTAATTTCATCGCTATTATGGGATTCCATGATTCGAATTCGCAAATCAGTTGTAGTTTCGTTCGAGGCTTATATTCATAGCGACATTTACACACTTCTTATGTTATTTAGACAAGATTATAATCATGAGCATGGATAATTAGGCATAATATATCAATTCATAAAGAAAATATCCTCTCTTAGATGCAACAATTATGTCTGTCACTTCATTCACATTCAGAATATCCATATCCAGTGTTGATATTATCTCGAATACTAGTGCAGTATGATAGAGCTGCTTAAGTTTTGCGGCCGTTATTTTCGAACAAGTTCTATCCACACAGCCTATAACTAAAAAGAGAGGAGACTATTACGTTTCGTGATAACCGTTTTTTGTGACTCATGACAGTTTACCAATCTATTTATTTATATTGTTCTGTGTTCAACGTTTTTATTTCAATGTCAGTGTTTTGAAATGGCAAGTGTGAATAACGTGCTAGAATCGGTACGGGAGGATGATTTTATCAAATATTTCCTATTTCCCGATATAAATACCAATGACGAAAAGGAGCAAGAGGTGCTTCTTTCCAAAATTTTGGAAAAAGCGAACAAAATCATCGAAAATTTTACCGACAACTATTTATGGCACAAAGACGAGTTCAAATTGTCCCCCAGGACATCGATCTCAAATTCATTAGGTTTTATTGAAGGAAACAAAGGTAAGGTTAATTGCCGATAATTGAGATGAATCAAATTACAGAGAATTGAGCTATAAGTTTGTATGTGTAATTTGAGACAAGATCAATTCTTTCTATAATAGTCAATCAAGAATTCAGTATTGGATTTTAACTGTAATTTAAATTGGGTTCTCAGAGTGATATATTAATTTTCGATAAATGAAAGCAGTTAATTTTCAAAAAAATGTTTTTGAACTCAATGTTTATTTTTTCACAGAGCCTTTGCCACCACATTTATATGGTGTATCCCATTATGGAGACAACATAGAAGATGAATGGTTTATGGTATTTCTCCTACTTCAGCTGACCAAAGAGATGAAAGGGCTAATCGCAAGAGTCTACGATGTTGATGGGGAATTTTTGTTGATTGAAGCTGCTGACTATTTGCCCAGCTGGGCCAATCCAGAAACATGCGAAAACAGGGTAAGAAATCCATTATTTGTGTCAGTTTGAAATGAACATTCAGCTGTTAGATATTGCATTTGTGCTGAATACTTGAATTTCATTAGAAACTTGGAACAATTTTAGACCTTGCCAATTGTATAAAAAATGAAAGGATAGATGCAGGGTTCAATAGAGTATTGAGAGTGAGAGAAAATATTAATCAGATAACTGATAAAGTTTTGAACAACATGAAATTTTAAGTTTTTTTCAGTAAGAAAACATTGACTGATTGAATATCATATGTTTCTGCTTTCACTGGTAAGTACACTTCGGCTGCAGTTATTGGCGAGATCCTACTCATTTCTCTTTTTTTCAAAACTGGCACTATCTCCTTCACAAAGTGGTGGTCAAAATAAACCTACATCATTATTCATCTTTTTTTTCAACAGGTGTATTTATACGATGGAGACATACATCTTATCCCGAACGAAACATCTGAGGACACCGAACTGTCAGTAACATCCGCCCTCTCCGTCATCAGAGAAGATCCAACCAAAACCCTTACCTCGCCTGACATCCAAAACTCCATCAAAAACAAAATCAGCGGCTATCCTGCTAAAATCCGAGAAAACCTCCACCACGTTACCGTGTATGTTCCGGTGGGCGTGGCCGCCCTCCTAAGGGAGAAACCCAACCTCATAGCGCCCGCGGTGCATTCTTTCTGCAACCGGGACTCTGTTGATTTGAATGTCTGCCGTGCCATGAAGTACTTCCCTCCGGAAAGCAGGGTTAAGAGACGCGTTGCCTTCACTAAGTGCTTGTATGCCATGCTGAAGCACAGCAAGTACGTCCCAGACCGTCGGACAGGTTGGAACTTGCCGCCACAGAGCTCGGGAGAGTTCAAACCGCACAGCTTGGGGGTCAAGGTATTTACTTTTTTTCTGAAAATCCTAACCATTACAGTATCTACTCCAAAGATGTACAACAATAAAATATCAGTTGAATACGAAATGAAAGGTGGAACCGGAAACTGACCGTATAGATCTACAGAGAAATCTTAATGACCTTTTCTGCAGAATAAAAATTGACTCGAGTCGAGTTTGATTACTTACCCCCCAGAAAGGGATCCCATATCTTAGATGTGACTCTACTAATGAATGATAGACAGTTTTAGCTGCGGTTAGTCCTAGTTCGTTAGAAATTATTTTCACAGCATAACATCCAGATGAAAGTTTTTTGTTAAGTGCGTGATCGGGAAGGTTATTTAAAATTTTTACTGAAATTTCATCAATGCCCGTTGCATTTTTGTTTTTATTTTCTTGCAGGATTTCTCTCAGCTCTAATAAATTTGTGTCTTCAAAATGAAAGTTGTTGGGCATATTTACATTTTTTAATTAATCCATAGGATTTGAAGTGGGAACAAAGGATGAAGTTAGTTTTTGAGCAATTGTGCAGTAAAAATAGGACATCTATTTCTAATAAATCCTATCAATCTATAAATGATTTGCTCAATTTTATTTTTGTTATATTATTCACATATTTCATTTCCATTGTTGTATGTGTAGGTGGCCTGTGGGTTCGAAATTCTAGCATCTCAGGCGACACCTTCCGCATCTGTAGAGTCGGATAAAGCCTGGCACAACTACTTCAAGAGCCTGACGGAGCGGGGCTACTTCAGAGAGCTTTTGGAGCACTCGGTAGAGTACAATAACTTACTGAACAAGGCCAAGGAGTACTACGTCGAACACAGAGACAGTATGCGGTACAGCCCTGCGATTGGACAAGAGATTCTCAGGCTGACGAGAGTCCTGGATTGCGACGTCGAACAGTTTCGCAAGGAGGAATCCTGTTTACCAAAGGACGATGACGAAACCTGGCTGGACATCAGTCCCGAAGAGTTGGACAAGATGCTGCAGGAGAGATACGGGCAGAAGAAGACATTCAGCGTCAATAACAACACTGATCCAGCTTCTTTCACTGAGAAGATATCTTCGTTTTTGAACCACGTGTCGGACTTGGACGGGGCCGAGTTTCCGGACCGAGAAGATGACTCTCCTGTTCGTCCGCCTAGGCGCAAGAACAAAAGCAAGGTGAGTCGGTCATAACTATCTACTTAAGCGCCTTTATTAATTAATTCTTATCATTAGGTGTCCTTCTCCCAAGACACGAAAACCACCCAACAATCAACAAACAACAAGATCAACTTCGACCCTAATTCGTTTGCGTGCGCTGTTCAAAACATCCTCAACTTCGCCATCCCCGAAGACGATTCGTGGGACCTCGACTCGGGTTCAGATATGAGCGAGTATGAAGAAGATAATTACGTCAAGGACCAGTCGTACGAGGAGGTCAAGACGAAGATGCAGCAGTACATGGAAGAGATGGACAAGGAGCTCGCCCAGACGACGATTGGCGACAGCTTCGTGAAGAAGAAGAACGGGGATTCGTTTGATGATATCGAGAGTTTCAAGCCGGTCGATATTGACGTGAACGCTTTGAAGAATATCTTGGAGAGTTACAGGGCCCAGCTCGGCGAGGCTGGCCCGTCTAGTAACTTGCTGGGTCCGATGGGGGTCAGCTTGGATGCCAAGGAGGATATGGATATGGCTTGAGGAGCTTTAGAGTGTTTTTCGGGGCTTTACGTATGTCCCCTGATTGTATGAGATGTTGTAACGGTATTGGGTATTATTAGCCAGTTCATGAGATTGCGATAATGAAGTAGTTTTGCCAGTTTTCTACAAGAAAATTTTTCAAATGAGAAAAGTGATCGTTCTTAATTTATTCATATTCTTAACAATGCTGTTTCTGGTAAAACAATAGAAAATTTTCAGTTTGACAACTTATAATTTATGCAAATCCATAATTTTTGAAATTTTGCTGAGGAAATGACTGGAATGTAAAATAATATGATCATAGATCGAAGCGTTTATTTAGAAAAATCAAAAGACAATATAAACTCCTAAAACTAAGTTTTAGAGGCCAAATTTTAGGATAGGTATATCAATTGAAAAAGGAGAATGAATGTTTCATAAACTATACCTCATTGTTTGATCTCCACAAACTTTGTTTGAAATTACTATAGATCTTCATCAAGTAACGGCCGAATCAACAAAAAAAAAAGTATAAAACGTTTAATAATGAATAATGAACTTCAGTTTCATATGATGCATGTGAAAACTTCTAATCTTCAGGTGTTTCACTCGTAAGTAGGTTTTGTTAGGCTGGCTAATAATACAACTTCAGGGTATGGAGAAATCCACATGAAAGTAGCTTTATTATACTCCAAAATATATATGATATTAGTTTTTCCGAGTGTATTCCAAACTAAAGTCTAAATTATTCATATGAAGGTATTTACTATATTTTGCTTGCATTGAAAATTAGTAGAGCGCATTAGTATGTTTCTGACAGCCTTGTAAGCTATAAGATGAATATTTTTGTGATTATCCTTGATAACTAAGTACATTATTGTATCCGGATTAGATTTATTCGTTCTCGGTGGAACAGACCATATCTCATTTGACAAAAGAGGAGGCATTCAGCGTACGGTCGGCAACTTTATATCAGAGACAATTGTTACAAATTCTAAAATCACTGACAGTTTGCAGTCAGCTTGACTGTAAGAGTAACCCATCATTATAATACGAAGTGTCTCCCTTTTTTCAAATAAAATAAGATCCCTTATAATTTTTTCCCTACAGTCTTCCAAGTTATAACAGAAAAATTTCATATTCACCTTCACAAATTTCCTCCTCAGTAACCATTTTTTTATAGTTTTACAAAACAAAATCTTTGGCAATCGAGACTGATTTCAAGTGACTTATTTTATCATTCTCCCATTAAAAAAATATTCTACTTTAGGTCTAGTCTAGTCTTATACCGCATATTATAAGTTTTTTATACGTTTTTGTTGTTTCATTTGTACCAGTGAATTTAATAAATAACACGCAAAAATTTCAAGTGTTTTATTAGTTCTTTACAGATAATACAAAATACATACGCAATAAATGCAGGCGCATCTACGGTCTGAACCATTTTGGAACTTTTTCAGTTGACCTCTCTATTTTCCTTTGACCGTAAGTTGTCGCGGTACTGGTGCTTGCTCCGTCGTTAGCGATGTGACGAAAGTTTGAGCCGCTGTTTTCATCGCTCTCAGGGTCATCTTCCACTTCATGACTGATACATGTTCGTGTATACTCATTTCTATAGAAAATATAAAAAAATATTAGTCGGGAATAGTCCGGAACGTAGTCATCACCGATGTTTTGTCGGGTAGAAATATCTCACCTCATCTTTGAAGCAGCTAAGCTTGCTACAGAGTTGCTTGTGAATTTATCTTTTAGGTCTCGCTTCAAAAAACTCGATGGTTTCGTTAGAGAATTCATGCCAAAGTGGATCAAAGCACCGGGTAGGAATCCCAGTTGAATCAGTGTTTTGCTCTCCTCCAAAATACATTTTGGGGGTGTGGAATCTGAAAAAAAACATTTCTAAGACTTAAAAAAAGATTGGTCAACGGTTTTTGAATGTCTTTTCAAATTCAAGATATTAAAAAAAAGCTTCTGGTCCATAGAGATGACGACTGATAGGTAGAATGATTTTAATCAAAAACTTTGCAATACCAGAACAAAACTCAATACGTTGGTCAAACTGAGCAGACTATAATAACCCATTTTAAGAAACATAATTTCACATATTGATTTTTGTAGACTTGGGATACAACAAACTAACACAATAAGCAATACTGGACACTAATTTAATGATTCTTACAATCTAACTTAGTTGTAAGATGTATTTTTCGTTATCTTCTGGTGATGCTAACTTGATTAGTGAAACGCGTTTTGTTCTGATGTGTTAGGAGTATTTTTATTTGAAAGGACTGAAGTTCTGGAAAAACTTAGTTGGCTTTCAACTTGTTTATTAAATTATAAGAAATGAGAATCTTCTGAAGAAACTAGACCAACGGTTGAAACCGTATGTGCTTGTTAAAAACATGGACAACACGCCCAATAAACCTGAAAAATAGCTTCGATCACATTATCGCAAGTCCTGGATTCAGTTTGACACTGATAATTTGTAAACTTTTCCAAAAATATTTTGTACTGCACGGTCAATGGATCTTTACATATGCTTCAATAATGTGGGCATTCAAAATGAGTCAACAAGTCATGAAAACGACGTGGCTACTGCTTCATATAATAGAAATGTCATATGTTGTAGAAGAAGTGGTATATAAGTGTTCTGTCGCCGTCAAATATTGAAGTCGCATGTGTAATTATTTGTGTCTGAAGTGTACAAGTGTTCAGCCGTTAGAGGTCACCTAGAGATTCAATTTCTTTATGACATGTCATTATATACTTATGATGCACTGTTTGGAACCTTTGGTGTAGTAGTGAATATTACTGAAGTTCTTTCCCAACACCAAATCGTCATTTTTAACACCTCGACACGTGTTTCGATCACCAAGTGATCATCTTCAAGAGGAAGATTAAACTGTCATTATATCTTCGAAATTTTCTCTTTCTTCATGTGATAAAATAGAAATATTCAAATAGTTTTTGTAAAAAGTAAGAGTTGAAGAAGCAAGTACAATCTTCTGTTGTTCAATCAAATTTTCATCAGAATAATTAACAATGCAGTTCAGGGTAAAACAATAGAAAATTCGTTCTATTGTTTTACCCTATTAGCTTTGTTTATTTTTTAGATTATGAAAGGTCATAAAAATAGTTGTTCACTATGGACAGGAGGAAAATGAGAAGCAACGCCCATAAAAGTTAGAGAAAGAGGGATATGATTTGGATCACTTACACAGATAGAAGTTGCATCCTTGCTCCTCCAGATATCCCCTAACAAATTCGATAACATCCTTGATTGTCTCGGATGGTTGAAAAATGCCTTGCAGCACAGTCCTGTCCGGAAAGAGGACCCTTATTACAGCCTTCTTGTAACGGTTGAGTTGCTTCAACATTTTTTTGGACTCCTCCAGCTCTCGCATAGCAGATGTCATGAGAGGGGCGTCTGTAGTTTTTTGTCTCTTGATGTCTCTGAGTATTCCCCTGGCGTCGTTAATAGTCAGATCGAAGAAATTGTCGGGGAGATCTTCGCTGGGAAGCGATTGGGCTGTTTCTAATGAGAAAAGCATAGCGTTTCTTTCATCTAGCTGTGGAAAAAGTAGGGATGATTTTCTGTTATCTATGCTATTGTGAAATTTCTCTTTATTTTCGCTCATTAAAAAGTAAAAGTTCATAAACTGAAACCCGGCTATTTATATGGGCATGATGATGTGCAATGTATCACCTTTTGATGAAAAATAAGAGTAAAATTTTATAAAATGAATGAAACTGCTATATCAGTTGAAAATGATTTCAAGCTTAAATTGTATCTTACTCAGCTTTCCAATAACCCAGCCAAGGGTTATTGGAAAATGCAAAGTTTACTGTACTCTATGAAATAAGAGACTATCGTCCTTGTAAATTTGTTTCGTGGAACACAAAAACTACTTAAATGAATTTTCTCGCTACATGAAGACAACCGTTTTCAAATACTCACAAAAATAAACTCCTCCTCAATATTTCGCTCTACATCAGTGCAATTTTCTTGGCAGTTTCCACAATCGTCTACCTCCATCAAATCATCTCGACATAAGCATTGATCAGTTTTTTCAGGACCGGCTGCGCTTTCAGCTTGCTCTTCCTTTACATTTATTCTTTTTTCTTCCCTTTTTGGAGAAGTGAACTCCAAATTTTTTCTCTTCTCCCGAGCTAGCTTAAGTAAATCCACATTTGCGTTTTTCTGTATCCTTTCGGGTCTGGTTCCAGGTTCAGTCTTGGGTTCTGCCCGTTCCTCACCACTTTCCTCCCCGGTTGAGTTTTCAATATTCTCGTTGTTCTCATTTTCTGCTACCGCCAACGGTTGAAATTTACGCTGATAGGGCTTCTCCTCCACGGGCTTTGAGGGTAAGGGGGCAGCCACGTTGGCCTGTACCTATTGTAAATTGATTTGAAACAAGCATACGATTAGTTAACGTGAAAATTATTTCTGTCGGGGACAAAAACTTCATTCTGTTTTTATATGGAACTACCAAATTCGAGTCTGAACTTAGGAATCTCTTATACAGGGTATCGTCCCTCAACTTTTGAATTGATTTTTTTGTTATTATTGGATGATACCCCAAATTAGGAAATTACCACAATTTAACTTACTCTACATCTTTTACCATTTGAGAGATCCCCATGCATAGACTCGAATTTAAAAATAAGACTAAGTTCACAACAGTACCTTGAGTTCCTCTGGAGATTTGTTGATTAGTCTCACCATAGCCCTACCGCCTGTTAACCCTAAAGCCCGGAGAGTAACGCTCTCAAGCTCCTTGCCGTACATTTCCCTCCTGGTGTATATCACCACCGGATTTTTATCATCACCAAGGCATTCTGGGCAAAGATGATTCAATATGTGGAGTAACGTATCGCTTGGCAAAAAGTTGCCCATCAAACGAGTGCCGTTCTCTAGATTGACAGCCAGAGTTATTTCAGTTTCGCAACGCAATTTTGTGGCTGGCACTAACTCTAATTGAGCGTTGTTTGGTAAACCGGAGAATCTAAATGTAGTGGTAGTGTCTAATATTTTATTGTGGTGCTTCAGGTCGAATTCTTCCGGCTTTAGCTGTTGTTTACGACATACTTCTTCTAGGACCTAAGAAAACGAATTGCAAGGAATTTTTCATTGGTTTACAATTTTCACAAACCTGTAAAATTGTAGTGTTTGGGGTGCATTTAACGGTTTGTCTCCTCCCGTTCAGAGCTAGGACACATAAACTGCCTCCAGACATGTTTGAGTTTTTTTAATTAGGGTAACGAACAAATAATATCTTTTTTATATTTAGAATTTATTTTACGAAACATGATACGTAAAAAATTTAATAATCTAACCTGAAATATTGAGTTTATAGGGCACAAGCAGTGACGTCATGTCTATGGGTACAAGCCGTTATTGACATTGATTGAACTTGGTGTTTTTCAAAAACTACCTGATCAAATATAGAATACTTTCACTAGTTTAAGCCCATTTTCAATAGCAAAACATGGAATGAGCAATCGCCACATCAGAAAAATGTAATTACCCTTTTTAGATTTGTTTGACTTCCAATGGCTGATGGTCGTGCATGTCGTGGCCACTTGAAAACGAATTTGGTTATGTCTGTATGTTTACAAAACAAACTTACATTCCTATTTTGATTATCTTTGCATTCAACTCAAAGTCCAGTCGTTTGAAACTGTATTATAGATATGTTTGATTTTGGAGATACTTTAGCTCTGTTTGTCGGAATGGTTATAAGCGCTGTTATCATTTTAGCTTGCCTTGGAGCTTATGCTAGAAAAAAGGCTTTTCTGGATCCAATGTGATTGATTAGAAAGGCAAGTAGGAAATTTAACATAAGGTTTAGTATCAATTAGACGCGTTCCGTTAGAGAAACCTTCAGGGTGAATTCATTAACCCAGTGTCAAGTCGCAAAATGTTGTAAGCAGTTCATTAGTTGTAAATTTTTAGCTGTAAGGAATGAATTGTGGCATATGATTTAAAACTGGTGCATGAGTCCACACTTAAGAGGCAATATAGGTGTAATAACCCAGGTTAATTCATCTTTGTTTCCAATTGCAGATAAGGATCTAACTTAAGGACCCCAAATCAACAGAATATTCCTGAAAATATCAAGACAGTCTACAATATTTTTATTCGTTCAATCTAGATTAGGATGTTCCAGTTGTCGTACCTTCTGAAAGTGTTTATTTTCATATCTTTCCTATTGGGAACCGACGAATAGGATGTACATGTAATGTACAATTTCAGAAGCGTAAATTTTTATTTTACATAAATTTTAGTGCAAATCGTTTCTTAGGTTTTTTAAATATATTTTTGAGTATAATTATGTAAATAAACTATAGTTTGAAATATATGTTGAACATTTCTCAAAATATTTCATAGGTCATGCTGTATTCAGATATTGTTTTTCTGTCAACAGTCTGTCTACACAGGTATATTGGCAGGTGCTAGGAATTACAGTATAGAATGTAAGACCTCGTTAAACCAGAACAGCTGTCTAATGGATAAACCTATTTTTTAGCATAGGATATTAAGGACTGCTTTGAAGATCTATAGAATAAAAGATAGATCATATCACATCCTTTAGAAAAATAATCCACTTCAAAGAATTGAGGGATATGCTAAAAAAGGAAAATTCGACCTGCAGAATATTATACTTCAATCTTGTTTTTTTATTTCCAAAAGTTCTCTTTGTATTTCCCAGAAACATTTTGTTTATAGTGTTGCCATCTATGAGACGGAAGCTTCCACTTCGAGTGTTTAGAGAAAGCTTTTGTTAGATTCACCCATTTTTGTACACTTGTTGACAGATGATGCAACAATCGGAATCTGTTGTAGTGGTCACGCTAGAGATATTAGATTATGCAACTTGCCTACAACTCTACTTGAGACTACAGTCAATGTAGTTACTTAACTATTTTCAGTCTTGGCTGAAGATAATTGCTTCAAGTATATTGGTCAAACTAAGTGACCTTTAATGACTAGTGACAAGGAACAAGTTTCATATATTCGGTTTTGAAAAAAATTGAAAGATCCAAAGCAGGAAAGAGGAACAGTCAAGACGGACGTTTTTCCCCAATAATTATTGTTGAAAAATAATTTTTATTTTTTTTATTATGTAAATGTATAGTACTGGAGTTTTTTCCCAATACCCAATCGTATTTTTAACACCTCGACACGTGTTTCGATCACCGAGTAATCATCTTCAAGAGGAAGATCATATGTAAATGTATCACAGCACAGAAAAACAAAGCAATAGTCTCACATTTGTTGAAAATTCACCCCCAAATAAAGAACCGGCACTGTAAATAATAATTTATTGAATATCAAAATAATTACAGATAATACACCCTACCATGCAAAGCAGAAGTTGAAAGAAAATGTGCCATTATAAAAAATTCTAAAGGAATATAAATATTCATATAAACGAACAAAATTCCAGCAAAAAAGCTTTCTTCAACAAGGCACGTTCAATAAAAAAAACTTTACAAAGATGTTAATCAATATCATGCCATAAGCTGCTCTATCCTCTCAATAAGGTGTGCGTTGTATTCCTCAAAATTGATGGGATCCACTTTCAATACAACCGTTTTCAAACGACTTTCATCCTAAAAAATAAAAACCAACATAATATATTCCAAAAACTCAATATATGTCCCTTGCCGATACAAGATATGCACAAAACTACTTACATTGTACGTCTCCATCTTGGCCCTGCATTTCAGTACGAACTGTTTGAAATGTGCCTTGTCCGTTATGGCAGAGATCGCTTCCGGATTCTGATCGACCTGCTGTCCCACTTCCTCGGATGTCATACCTAGGACTTTCTCCACCTCCGAACTGAACATGCTCACCCACTGGTTTCCACTCCAATCACCGACGTTCATCTTCAACAAAGGAAATAATCGACTTTGACTCAAAAATTCGCAAAATTGAAAGTGGTCCTTCGAGCCGGATCACAGTTGAGATATAGTTAAAACTTGATTCGAAGTACTTACGCTGGCTAGCAAACGCCATTTGAAGTTCGGGAATTCCCTATTACACTTCTCGCAGCGGTACATGCCGTTTTCCAAATCGATGATCTTCTTATTGCAGTCCGATGTGGGGCACGCCTTGTACATTGCGTTCTCTGATCTGATCAACAGAACCGTACCCATGACTTGGTAGTAGTCTCCTGTGGAAACATGTATTTTTTTACAGACTGAAAATCCCTACAAATTCTTCAAAGAAATGGTATTATTTGTTATCACTATACGATAAATACCTACAAGAAGTGTATCAACGTTTAAGGAAAACACAAGGACCCGTCTCCAAAGAAGTCTATAGATTGTGAAGGAATCGGCAGATACTTGATGAAAATCTATAAGTTATTCAGGCAGTTAGAGCCTCCCGAACAATTATTCGTCGACTCAAATAATCGATACACTCACCCCTTTCAGCATTCCCCAAGTTCTGGTCCTGCACCTCCTTGAAACTCATCCAGGGAGTGTTGAAGTTATGTTATCCATGAATTTCGATTGGTTTTTATTCTCAAAAATTTTTCCATTCTAGTATTGTTAATATTACAGCTGAAGGTGAGTAGGTTTGTTTTTTTGATATCAAAGCACAAGTAGTTTGCATCACACCAGTTTTTCACAACTTCTAAATCCCTAGAGATAGTTTCTTTCATATTAGAAGTATTTTTTCCATGCCAAAGGAGCGTGTTGTCATCAGCAAAGATCGTAAAAATTCCTTGAATTGAGAGAGTAACAAAGTCATTTACATAAATAAGGAAAAGAATCGGGCCCAGTACTGTTCCTTGTGGAACGCCCCATAAGATATCCTTAGTGTGTGATAGTTTTTCGTTTGATCTTACCAACTGTTTTCTATCACTTAAGTAAGACCTGAACCAGCCATTACACACTCCTCTAAAGCCATAGTAGTTCAACTTTTGCAAACGAAGTTCATGATTTGCACAATCAAAAGCTTTGGAGAAATCGCAGAATACTGCAGCTACGACCTCACCATTGTTGAGATGTGTCTAGACATGTTCAAGAAAGGAAAAGTTTGCATCATTTGTGCCTTTTGCCTTCTGAAAGCCAAGATAATACTCCTTATTGACCGCACAACCATGAGGCAAGAACTTGTAATGCACTACGCCATGGTAATCGAAGAAAACAGTGAGCAAAACCTCGACATTTCAGTATTTCCCCGACAAAGTGGCATTTTCAGGAGATGAAGAAAAATATCCAAGCAAAACTTACCCCTGTTTTAGACTGATCCACCAACAAGACTTCCTTCTTCTTCAACTCCCTACCGGTAGACCTCGCCTGGAAAGTTTGCAATTCTCCAACGCTTTTAGTTACTCCAATCACATCTAAAAATCAAATATTTCAAGTCAGAATACTTCCTCGATGAACCATACACAATAAAACTCTTTAGATTAATGACTCAGTAATGTCCGGCGAGGTATTAACATGAAAAAGTGTCTGTAAAACACAAAAATTCATTTTTCAGTGAATTATTTCATCCGTGGCTAACCTCAAAACCCTTCAAGGGTCTCTGAATAGAAAACAGTGGGATACACAAGGTAGTAATTGATGATAGGGTGCCTCGAGGATCCATTTCAGGTTTCAATTACTACTAGCACAGCCTCACAGCCTAATAAGTTATTTTTCGTAACTCACCTATCAACGAATTGACCTCGGCATTCGCTATCTTGTCGATGGTGACGAAATCATACTTAGTAGTGGGAATTGCAGAGTCGTCAGCGTCCACGCATTCCTGAATGACTGTTTCGGAAGTCATCGTCATCTCGTAGTCGTTCTTCAACGTGCTGTACTGTTTATTGGCCGGTTTCAACTGGCATTTGCTGATGAAGTACACTTTGTCCACCTGTAACGAGTTTATTTTTCAATAGTGACAACACAGTTCTGAAAGAACATGTAAATTATAAATACTAGATATACAGGGGTGCGCAAAAGTCCGGAATAAAATTAATATATTTTGGTTTTAAAAGAGTTTTTTCTCATTTCGTGGTAACCACATGAGTAAAAAAAATGAAGGTTATGGTCAGATTCAATTTTTTACGAGCTTTTCGATGAGCCCATACACGACATAGGTTTGCATTTGAAAAAAAAAGTTGGGGAGGGTTGCAGCTAAGGGGTTGAAAAAAAATATTTCATTCTATTGCCAAAAAATGCGTACAACGTGAAATCAACTGACGTGTTTCAGCGTTTTTTTCCTAAAATACCGGTTAAAAAGATATTAATTTTATTCCGTACTTTTGCGCACCCCTGTACATGTTATTATAATATCAACTTTAATGTGGATGTTGTATCTTCAAATGACTAGTAAGTCCTTTTTTGAATGTCATAATAGATTCACTTTGTTTTATCTCAAGTGGGAGGTTATTATAGTCCAATAGTCCTTTATGGAATAAGGAGTTCATAGACTGTGTAAAGTTTAAACGTGGTATATATAAATTAGAATTTCCCCTAGTGGGGTAATTATGAATTTGGTGATGGAAAACAATAAATTAGTCAAATAAGCCAATCCAGAATTTCCAACATTGTTGTAGTTGGCGTATATCTATTACATCTTAAAATTAGGCGCATGCCTCTATTCTGTAGTTTTTGCAATGTAGGCAAGCAATTTGCATCAAGTTGTGATAGTAAAGTAGCGCAGTAATCAAAATGTGGTTGAATGATTAATTTAAAAACTGTAATGGATGTCTGAAACGGTAAGCAACTGTTTACACGGCCAAAGAAAAATTGTTTTTTAGCAATTTCATTGTGGACATAATTGAAATGTTTTTCATATTCAGTGTTTGATCCACGATGAACCCCAAATATTTGGATTCCTCGACAATTTCAATTTTTTGATTGTAAATATTTATACTTATAGATGTTTTGTCAATTGAATTATGTTTTGTGGTAACTATCATTGCTTTCGTTTTATTGACATTGAGCTTGAGTCTATTAATGTTGAGGAATTCATATATTCTGATCATATCATTAATTTTATTGATAGCTGTTTGTAATTCACTCACTGCAATCAGAGTATCATCTGCAAATAGGCTGATGAATCCACATCCATTAATGTAGTTGATGTCATTAATGTTAAGAACATACAGAAGCGGGCCCAAGACACTACCTTGAGGTACAACATTATTGACACCTTTTAGGTTTAGATAGATAGATAGATATCCTTTATTAGTTCTTTGTAATAAAAAACCTTTTCAGGTGTAGAACATGTCAATTACAGTAAACATTCCAGAAGTAGTAGAAAAATCATGAGGCAATATCATTAATATTGGTTAACATTCATATGTAGGGTACAAAAGAGACTAAAATAAATCACAATGCAGATTGATACGACATGAAATATTCAACGCAAACAACATCAGTTTGAATTATCATTGAAGAATTCTTCCAGCGAATAATAAGCTTTGGTGAGAGGCAAAGTTTTCAATTTATTCTTCATGATCATAGAAGACACGTTCTGAGAGATTCAGGTACCTTGTTATAAATATTAATGATTGAAAAAGGTATATTTTTTTGAAGATAGGTCAAATGTGTCTTTATATTCAAAAGACTATTTTTTTTTTCGTGTGTTGTGAATATGTCCCGTTAATTTTAATCTGTTGAGTTTGACCAGAGAGGTAGCTTTCGAACCGTTCAAGTACTGAACCAGAAATTCCATAATATATGAGTTTTTTTAGTAGGATATTGTCTCAAATGCCCTTTTGAAGCCTAAAAACACTGCCACTATATATTTATTATCATAAACAGCAAGTTTCCATTTGGATATTGAAACTTGTAATGCTGTTTCATATGAGTGTTTAGATCGAAAACCGGATTGGTTCATCATAATCAGTTTATTACTTTCAATGTATCACACAAACGGTTAAGAAAAATAGGAACTATAATTCCCCTCACGTTTCTTTTTGTGAACTATGCAACTTACTTGTCCTCTGCCATTACATATTTGATAAATGTATGCATGGAATAAGGGATATCTGCCCAATTTTCAATATTCATAAGCAAGCTGACTACCATCACTTGTTTATTGTATTCGTTTGAATATGTCCTTATAGGACGAAACTGCAGTATCGTTAGTTACAAATAAAAACTGTATAAAAACACAGGAAGATTTATTTCCCGTTTTTCATGATGATTTTTCTCCTACCATGCAGTAACGGCTCCATCCGTCAATTTATTGAAACTGCTAATGTACAGAGTTTTACTATGAGGACAAAAAAGCAACACAAAAGCAATTTTTACCTGTATGTAGTCATAATATTTATCCACCTGATCCCTGAATGCCGTTAACCTGATTTCACCGCTTTCGTCAATCAGATCCATACTAAACAGCTTTCCTTCCCCTCTTGAATTGGACCAAGTACGAATGCTAGATTTGTTGGTGACTCTTGCTTTGATTACCCATCTGAAAAAAGAGAAAAATCACTCCCACTCAATCAATCACTCGGGATGATGATTTAATTGGACCATGTGTATTTTTCCAAAGTTGATGATGTAGCTTCCGCAACCGTTTCTCTGGTTGACACAATCGAAAGCTTTTGACAAGTAACAGAATACTATTGCAGTCGCCCCACCATTATTCAAGTTGCTGTATGCTTTGTGGAGAAAATTAAATATTGCCTCACTAGTGATTTTGTTTTCCTGATACCCTAATTAATGAGAAGTGTTTATAAGTCTTATTTTGAATAATTTTTCAATCGACTTTGCTAGAGTTGGATGAGAAGATATTGGCCTCACTTAGCTCAAAGATTTAGTTTTGTAATCCCTGATGATGCTAACTCTACTGCAGAAAACAGCATCAAGAGACAGTTCTTCTGTTCTACTGTTTGAATAAACCTATTTTATACCAGATGTTCCAGTCCTAGCTATCAAGTTAACATGACAAGTGGCACTAATGACAAATACACAGAGTAGCATCTCAGAAAAAATACATGTGATCCAGTAATTTCCGATAAACTCACTTGTTGTGGTATGGACTCAAACTGGAAATCGGATGCGTTACGGTATTCTGACTGGTTATGTTTTCGCTAGTGTCCATGGCAACAGTCACATTACTTGCGGAAGGTTTATTTGATGTAGGAGGGTTCTGTTTTGGTGTAGATACAGCTTTAGATGAATCACTTGTTTCGTTGAGAGGGGAAGGCGATCCAATACGCTCGCCAACTACCGATCCTTCGTGAAGAACTGTCATGTCCAGGATCAGCAAGACACGACTGAAACAAATGCTCCGTTTAAAAAAATACAAGTAGAAAATATTTGAATATTTATATGGTGGGAACTCCTGTGTCTCAAAGAATTGTGTAATTTTTAAGTCGAAATAGCAGAAGAAAAAATTGGTTTCAAATGCATTGTATGAAATGAGTAATGAGTTTTCAAATCATTAATGTATGTAATAAATAGTAGGGAGACTAGTATAAAACCTTGTGGCATGCCTCTGACTAGCTGTCTGTACTTTATTGTCTAAGAAAATATATCTTATTGCCAAAGTTATCAAATATGTTCTTACGTTTCTCCTTTTCCAGAGTTATTGATTATGCTGGTAATATACTTATCGATCTTGATTACTGTAAAAGTCTCAAGGCCTGAGGAACTAACTTTGTCGTTGATTTGAGTGGTCAACATGGCAAAGTTGATGGAGTTTTTTCCATCGGACAGTAACATACGGAATCTTTCTTTATTTCCAGTCCCTGATGTTATTTTTTTGCTTCCCAAAACCTGCATTATAGGGGTAGGAAATTCGCCTCCTCTCATTATTACCTGTTTAAGGAAAGAAAGATGTAACGAAAGCATGACAAGTGCTAAAAAGGTTTACCTCGAGAGATCCTTTAGATAAGTTGTATTTTACGAATTATAAGGATTGTCGTTCATAGAGGGGTGACAGCTGATTAAGGAAAAAACATTTTCAACTAAGAGACGTCACCTTGATCAGTTCTGTGTTGTTCTGTGATGTCGCATAAAAAAGTAAAGTTTTGAGGTTATGTCTCGCAATCAGCCGTTTTTTAAATTTTAAAAACATAATACAGAATGTTTCGAAAAATAACAAATCGTGCTGTATTAGCTAACAAAAACAATTTGAAATGTTTGTTTCAAAAGTTTTCAAACACTGTTCCTGACAGTCTTATTGAGTCCACTTCCACTTGTTCACAGATAAATGAACAAAAGTCATTATCAGTAACTGCACAGATCCTCGCACTCAAAAAAGAAAATTATGACACATCTGTTAGTAAAAAGAACACCGAAGTATCAGATTCTGTATTGGAAAAACCTCGAAGAACCAAAGTATCAGACTTGTCTAAATATTTGAGACCTGGAGCCGTAACTTCGCTCTATATTAACAAATCAGACAGTCTGCAGGAACTATTAAAGTTGGGTGTGAAGTTTTATGAAATAGAAAAGAATCCAGAAGCAATCACATTCATTCTCAGCTTAAAGTTTGAAGACTATCGTGATCACATTCTGTTTCTGAAAGATTTGAAAGTATCGACAGAAAAGATAGGAGAAATAATCACAAAAAACCCATTTTTACTCAGGGAACATCTGGATGATCTTAGGGTGAGAATAAACTACCTTCAGTTCAAAAAATTCACTGATGATATGATTGTGAGGATCGTAGAAATTAATGCCATGTGGTTATCTCACAGGTAAAGAACAGTATCGATATGAAGTGTGATTTATTTGTGAATTGTTTTACAGCACTAGTGATATTGACAAACGACTAGGATTTTTCCAACGTAATTTGTTTCTCACTGGAGACCAAGTTAGACAACTTGCTGCAAAATCGCCGAAATTAGTCACATGGCCTCTAGCAAAAGTCAAAGTGAATATATTTGCTTTAAAAGAAGAAATGGGATTTTCTAAAGAAGAATTACAGAAGATTGTGCTTGACAAACCAAAATTGCTCAGAATGGGTAAAGTAACCTAAAAAAAACAACTTCTCTCTAGTGAAACCCTTTCTTTTTTTCAGATCAGAACAAAATTCTCAGAACTTTCACGTATTTGCACACAACAATGAAAATACCTTTGGAATGGATAGTTGAAATGCCAGATATCCTAACCTGCCGACAGAAAAGACTAATGCAGAGGCATTTATTCTTGGAAAAGCTGAATAGGGCTCAGTATAATCCAAAGGAACCTAAATATATTGCATTGACTAATTTGGTTTATGGAACTGATTCAGAGTTCAGTACTGAAATTGCCAAGTCTTCAGTTGAAGTTTTCAATACATTCTTGAAAACCTTGTGAGAAAAAAGTTTTATGATTTTTTTATAAAATAAATTATTAATACCTACTTTATTANCCGATCTTGCTTTCAAATTAGTGTCCCTAAAAAGATTTGGAGATTTGAAATATTTATTGATCATTGGCTTTGTCAAAAAATGAAAGGGCAGAAAGCGCAGCCCAGTTATTATAAAATACATATATTTATATTTACTTTATATAATAAATACTGTTGATTGTATTTTTTTATATTCGTTCCCAACAAAAAGCCGGAAAAAGTATTCGTCAATCATTCAACGTTCACAACGAATGTAGAGGTGAAGTCATGAATACAAGATTTAAGATTAAATCGATTTAAAACGATTCGTTGACGCGCAACTGCAAGTGATTCCAGAACAGAGTTTTCAAATTCAATTGCCAACCATGTTGAGAACTGTAAACTGTTAGATCGTACAATATGATCATTTAGCTGAAAAAAAGCGCTTCTATTTTATCCAGTTGCTGGATTCAGTAACTAACGTTTATAACATCGAACTGTAAAGCGGCTACAAACGCTGGACGCAAGCGTAAGAACTACCTTCAAAAACATGACAACAGAACGAAAAACTGTGTAATTGACATTTCTACAAGCAAATTGCAAAAATCCAACAATCGTCTCATTTGACAGTGTATTTTTCTTGCTGCCTACGTGTAGAAATGTTAAAAAATGTTTTTATTACGGTGATTATTAAAGAAGTGAAAATAATAAACTGAAAAATCTATCGTAGTTGGCAGCAAGAACTTATAAACATGAATATTTTACGTAAAATACTTATTTTATCCTTTGTTATTGGAGCATTTACCGACGAACACGATCATATAGTAAGTGCATAAACTTCCTTTTAGGATTCAATTTCCTTATCAGTGCTGTTGACGGTTTTATTTTTCAACTGCATCAATCTACTGTCATATTTTTTAGTACGGCTTGAATGAAGAGGTTGTGCTATGGATGAATACAGTAGGACCCTACCATAACAGACAAGAAACGTATGCTTATTTCTCCCTTCCATTCTGCATTGGATCGAAAGAAACCATCAGTCACTACCATGAAACGCTCAGCGAAGCGCTCCAAGGTGTCGAACTGGAATTCAGCGGAATTGAAATTGAATTCAAGAGTAAGTTGCAGGTCAAGTCTATCGAATAACTTAAGTCTTTTAAAGATGCAGGAAATGTTGATAAGATTTCATTAGAATAATTTGAATCTAACAGTGAAAATATTTTATCAAAAGAAGCTGGGATAGAAGTCTATTTGGCAAATACATTTCAAAATGAAGTTTTGTGTTCATGAACATAGTGTATACAAAATGTAGAAGATTCGTCCAACCAAAACGAAAGCTAGTTTCTACCAAAAGGAAATAGGTGATATAAACGATGCAATGAGGTATAATCGATGTAAAAAAGAATTTCAGATATCAATTCAACAATTTCAAACGAGAAAGAATACCTAATTATAGGATTGAAAACAGTAATAATGTAGTAAATGAAAATAGCTACATTAACAAAAATCAACAAGCTTATATTTATTTCCAACTCCTGAAAAAATGATTTCCAAAGTTTTAAAAACAGTTGCGTTCTATATTAAAAAAACTCAACTTTAGAAAACATTATTTGAACACAAATGTGTTTATAGATTGATATTTTGATGAGTCTTTTTTTCAGGTTCAACATTAAAATAGAACATTGTATAATGTTCTCTATTACAATTTTTATGTTTTTGGATTGGAAGGTGGAAAATTAGATCGATCAAATCTCTATATCCTCCACAAAAAAATTACTTTCGTTTTGTAACACAGGTCTGCAATCAAAAAATTGTAGGATATTCAACTAGTGATTTTAACAGTATTTTGCGTGCAGATTACGGAAAAAATAGTAAAAAAATTCTATCACCTATAGATAAGTCACAAATTTCACGTGAAATAATTTCGTTTTGGAGTACTCATGGTTTGGGGAGCGCCTAAAAATCACAGTGATGACTGTAATTTTTGTTCTTGTTCAGTGCAAGATTTCAATTAAAAAACCGGAAAGGATATTTCATACCCCACCAACATACGTTCAGCTGTTCGCCCTGTTCCTCATGAACCTAACTTGCCTATTCTTTCACCTCCGGATACCTTGGACAACATTTTAGACGATTTAGACACAAAAACACATAGAAGCAGTAGTGACAGTGATGACAGCTACGATCCAGGTACCAATGACCCTGAACTTTTCTCTCAATCAGACTTGAACGATTTAGTACGAGATCTGGGCCTCCCAAGGGACTCGGCAGAAGTTTTAGGGTCTAGACTTGAAGAAAGACATATGTTAGCCTCCGGTGTTTTATTTTCATGGTACCGATTCAGAGAAAGGGAATTTGTCCCTTTTTTTTTACACAAGAGGGTCAACTAGTTTTCTGCAACAATGTACCCGGTGTCATGGAAATGTTCAACATAACGTATGAACCAGAGAAATGGAGACTTTTCATTGATTCATTAAAATGAAGTTTGAAAGCTGTACTTGTTCACAATGGGAACCAATATGTTTCTGTGCCTGTTGGACACTCAGTCCATTTGAAAGAATGCTACGAAAATCTTGAATTTGTTCTTAATAAGCTCAGCTACTCTGATCATGAGTGGACCATTTGTTGAGACTTGAAAGTTATTTCAATGTTATTACTAGGTCAACAAAGTGGTTACACTAAGTTTCCATGTTTCCTATATGAATAGGATAGCCGTGACAGGAAACAACACAATGTCAAGCAGGTGTGGCCAATAAAAATGGGTCTTATTTCTGGAGTTAAAAATGTTGAGAAACAAATTTTAGTGGATCCTAAAAAAATCTTACTTCCACCACTCCATATCACATTGGGGATAATGAAACAGTTTGTGAAAGCATTAGACAAAGAAGGAGACTGTTTCAAGTATCTTTCTGAAGAGTTTCCTGGTCTATTCGATGCTAAACTAAAAGAAGGAGTCTTCGTTGGGCCTGACATAAGAAAACTTTCAACAGATGAAAGCTTTGTCACTAAAATGGAAATGAAAGAAAAAAATGTCTGGAATTCATTACAAATTGTTATAACAGGCTTTCTTGGAAACAAAAAATACCCAAACTACAAAACTTCACTCACATCTGGACTACTTTTCCGAAAATCTAGGGTCTGTAAGAGAGGAACAAGGAGAACGGTTCCATCAAGACATGAAAGAAATGGAACGCAAATACCAAGGTCGGTGGAATGTTAATATGATGGCAGACTACTGTTGGATGTTAAAAAGGGAAAATTCACAAGAAAACAGCCGAAAAAGTACCGAAAGAAGCTTTGACATTAAAAGAAAACGTTTTTATAAAGACTTATAATCACTTTGCTTCACTATTATGCTTAGTTTAGTTATGTAGCATTGTTTTTTTTGCATTTACTTCATGTTAAAGTAATAAAAATAAATCCACAATTCCTCTTTCTTTTTGTACTTTTTCAATTATTTCATCCTTATTTTGTAGGCAAACTTTACGTGATAGATAAAAACAAATGTCATTTTTGATATCAGCTCAAAAAACTACACAAAGATCAGTTAACGAAATCAAAAAAAATTTTTTAAAGTTTTTTTTGCAGACCTGTGTAATTATGAGGTTCCACCTCGGTTTCTACTGAAATTTATGAGAAACAAATAATTTTTGCAGAGAAAAATTAAAAATAATAATAATATTTATTAGCCATTTCGGTACTTAATGTACATATGTTAAGTCAATAGAAGTACTATATAATATAAAAACAATTAAAATCATGATTTGTCATATATAGATAAAAAAAAGTAGGAGAGGGGCAAATCTGGTGAATACGATGGCTGAGGTATGATTACGGTGTTCAAAATGAGTGTAGCAACATAAAAAAACAAAAATCGCCCATCGAATGTACCTAGCCCACAAAATTCAAATATTCACCTTATTTTTTGAACCCGCCTCGTACAAATGATAGATTTATTCTGAATAAAGGTTTTTGTTATTATAGATAACATGAATAAAGGTGAATATTGTGCTGTGCAGTTGGATGAAGAGAAATACAAAGCTTTTGTATATGCCGTTAAAAACCACTACTGGTATCAAATGTACATTGATGATTTGCCCATTTGGGGAGTAGTGGGGGAAGTCAAAGACAACAACTACTATATATGGACCCACAAGAAGTTTGAGATAGGTTTCAACGACAATCAGATCATTGACGTAAATTTGACTTCTGAAGACAAGGTTCCGTTGACGCCTAATGGCAAATTGAGCTTCACATACGAGGTTATATGGAAGAGGACTAATACCAAATTTGCGGATCGTTTCGATAAGTATTTGGACCATAACTTTTTCCAACATAGGGTGAGTATTACTGTTGAAGGTCTTCAGTGTCTTGAAAAACAGAAGTGCTGCTTCTGGACATGCGTTTCGCTTACCAAGTCAGCATTACCAGCTGATTAGTTTCAGTCATTGCAAAAACCGCATTGAAATTATTGGAAACTACTCAAAAATAAGATCAAATTTATATTTATATCCAAAAAAAAATGTAAACACTTGTAACTCTTATTATTCTTCATGACAGATACATTGGTTCAGCATATTCAACAGTTTCATGATGGTGATCTTCTTAGTCGGGCTTGTATCGATGATTCTGATGAGAACACTGCGAAAGGACTATGCCCGCTACAGTAAAGACGAAGACATCGATGACATGGTAAATATTTATTTAAAAAAATCATCGGCGAAACACTTTATTACTTCTTCTACAGGAAAGAGATCTGGGAGACGAGTACGGATGGAAGCAGGTTCACGGAGATGTATTCCGTCCCGCGTCGCATTCGCTTTTCTTTTCCGCCCTTATCGGCGCTGGACATCAATTAACAACTGTCGTTTTCAGTGTCATAGTCTTCGCTATAATGGGAGAACTTTATACAGAGTAAGTGAATGAATTGTAAAGTTTCAAACCGGATGTGTTCCTTCAAACGTGTTTTCGAATTCCGTCCTGTTTGACCTACATACGTGCTTCATTTCCAGGCGTGGTTCACTGCTATCTACATCCATATTCGTGTATGCAGTCACGTCTCCCATCAATGGATACTTCGGAGGGTCCCTTTATGCGCGTATGGGGGGCAAGGTGTGGATTCGGCAGATGATTCTTTCGGCTTTCATGCTACCTGCTTTCGTTTGCGGTACAGCATTCTTCATAAACTTCATCGCCATCTATTACCACGCTTCCAGGGCTATCCCGTTTGGCACCATGGTAAGTATTGTCTTGAGATAGTAATGGCAACCGACAAAATTGAATATTCCTGTTTCTTTTAAAGGTTGCAGTCACTTGCATATGCCTATTCGTCATACTTCCTTTGACTCTTGTCGGGACGGTTTTGGGTAGGAATCTTGCCGGTCAGCCGGATTATCCTTGCAGAATCAACGCAGTGCCAAGGCCCATTCCTGAGAAGAAGTGGTTCATGGAACCGGGAGTTATTATTCTACTGGGAGGAGTTTTGCCATTTGCCAGCATTTTTATTGAAATGTGAGTTCGATTTTGCCCAGGGTTTATCAAGGAATTATAGAATGAGTGCTTAATGCCTAAATTGAATATCTTCTCACTGCTTTTTTCCAGGTATTTCATTTTCACATCGTTCTGGGCCTACAAAATCTACTACGTTTACGGCTTCATGCTACTCGTATTCATTATATTAATGATTGTGACCGTTTGCGTGACCATCGTTTGCACATACTTCCTATTGAACGCAGAAGACTACCGCTGGCAGTGGACCTCCTTCTTGGCTGCGGGATCGACTTCTGCCTACGTCTACATCTACGCCATGTATTATTTCTTCTTCAAGACAAAGTAAGTGCTCACGTTTCAGTAGAAAGTATCTTTAGATTTCAAAAAACGTTGTTGCAACGTAAGCTCGTAAGCTCGAAGGAAAAATCCAAGAGTGTCAGGTCAGGTATTCTGAACGGCTAATCTAGCAAACCAGTGAAAAATGTCGAAAGGTCAAATGGTTTTTTGTTTGTTCTAGGATGTACGGATTGTTCCAGACTGCGTTTTACTTTGGATACATGGCTTTGTTTAGCGGCGCTTTGGGCATCATGTGCGGCACTGTGGGGTACATCGGAACCAGCCTGTTTGTTAGGAAAATATATTCTACCGTTAAAATTGACTAAAACTTCGAAATGAGCGCCCTTGTATATAGCTGTATTATTACCGGTGAGGAAATTGTTCTCGTCAGGAGGAATGAACATGTTTTGAGGCTCTTAAAAATTTACTTCGTTTTTTATTGAAATTTTTTATGAAGTTTTCCGGGTCTCTCAGTATGTCGTGAATGCTCAATTTGGTTTTAGATTGGTACACAGGGTGTTTTTTTGAGTACGTATATTTTCAGAAGTTGATTTCTTGTTGTAGTTTCCAAAAGAAAGTTTGTACAATCTCTGAAAAGGCCATATTGTTGAAAAATTATATTTATTCGATTGCGAGTGAGTTATTGATACAATTAGCTTTTCCAACCTGGAGAAATGCATTTTTAGTAACAAAAAAAGAAAGCAACTAATTTCCAGGCTAATGTCTCGAAGGTCATTGAAGTGTATTTGACGAGGGTTCTCGCAAAGATCCTCCCTCATTAGCGAGTTGCTCAAAAACAACAGACACAACAAGTTTCTCAAAATTATCAGTTTCATAGTGTTTACTTTTCATCTTGAATGTAGAAAAAGTTTCTGAGATGAAATTAAAATGCTTAAATGGTTGTCAGTCAATATTCGTCTTGGCATTAGACATGGAAGTAATAATTTCATAGGTCACCAGTCTCTGAATGTTTCTGACTCTGTCCCGTTTACTGGGTTGTTCACGTATCGTGGAAACTCGCTTCTGAACAGGAATAGTTTGAAAAGAAAAAACAATTATCTTTCGACTTCGGTAACAACTTTGGGAAAATTTCAATTTACGAATGTTAAAATACAGAGGCTTGCCTGAAACATGTAAAATCCTCCACTCTTCAATCGGGAGAACTAAAAATTCCTGTAAAATGTCAAAGCAGCAAAAGGAGAGGGTGGATGTAACGTTTTAACCCTCTTCGAAACCCTCGGAACTGTCATAATTTTCTATATGTATGTGATTATATAGTTCGCTTTTATTTTTGATGTTTGTACATACATTGAGTGTTTATATAGAGTTCGATTCGAAAGTTGGCGACACGTAACGACCAAGTTCTCTTCTGCAGTTTTTAAGTTAGTTTTGATGCACATGCCAGTCGGTTCGTAGAGTGGACTCGTTCGTTACGGTTCGCAATTTTGTCAGAATTTAATATTTCAGTTAACTGTGAGAATTATTTAAATAAACTTTTTTTTAAAGTTCTCATTTTTTATTAATTTAAGAGGATGGAAATACACACATTGGGTTAACGATAATTTACTCTTATTTACAAATCTGCTCTCACACCAAAACCTGGGCCTGTGGGCTCGCCCTTCAAAGAAGTTGGTTCGCCAATCGGCTCACATGCATACCTTCCACTCCTGAAAAATATAATTGGGTAAAAGTCACTTGAATTCCTGCCAAGACAATAAATGAAACAACAATGAAAAGGTTTGCAACAAATTCTACAGCGAGTTGATTATTTAAATCATAACTTTCATGAGCTTATTTTCAAATTATTGATTAAAAAGTATTGAATTTTCTCATGAATTTTCTACAGTTCTCTGATTAGTTCCACGACACACATTTGTGCAAGTTTTGTCATACACAGATTTTATTAAAACTCACAATTTACACAGTTGCAAAGCTCAGGTCAAAAATTGCAATTCAACAACAAATTAAAAAATCATTTGAAAATATTTAGATATGAAAGAACATCAGTCATCAATATCATACAATATAGAAGGTTAAACTTCAGAAAGTTAAACCAGAAATGCAATACTTTTCACAACACGTGTTTCACCAACCAAGTTGACATGTTCAGCAGATGAAGAAATCTGAATCCAATCTCTAACACTACTCTCTATATATATCTAACAGGGTTCACTTTTACTTAATAATACACATCAATGATTTTGTGTATCAACTTGCGGGAAATTTTCTAGTGAAAGTTTCCGCTAATTTCAAAAGAGTAATTCCTAGTAAGGAATACAATAGGTTGATCTAAACAACTTCAGACAGTTTTCATTCATTCTATGGTCTTTCTCCAAAACGTGTTGTGCAACACTAGATTTTTCTGGCCTTATGTGAACAGGGTTCACTTTTACTTATTAATACACATCAATGATTTCGTGTATCAACTTGCGGGAAATTTTCTAGTGAAAGTTTCCGCTAATTTCAAAAGAGTAATTCCTAGTAAGGAATACAATAGGTTGATCTAAACAATTTCAGACATTTTTCATTTATTCTATAGCCTTTCTCCAAAACGTGTTGTGCAACACTAGATTTTTCTGGCCTTCTAAATCAGAAACGTGTTGGGTGATCTTTAAAACTAGTTCCAAATGCTCGTTTAGTCTGACCGATATATTTTTTGGCACAGTCGTTACAGTTTTGGTGATCAGAAAAGTGCTTGCTTTGGATTTATTCTACGCCAGATATTTAACTTTCACCTGTTATTAGCATAGGACCAACTACCAAATTCTGTGACATATCAGAATCATTTGCCTTGCTCTTTTAGAGTCTGTATAGTTGTCCTTACCATTCGTGGGAAATGAATAAACAAATAACAAGTTGTCTCACCTTGGCCCTGCTGCAGGTTTCTTCCCAGCTTTCAGGTCGTTCAAAATCTCATCAGTATCCTTCTCAGTTAGATCTTCCTGTAATGATCAACTTTTACCTTCATTCTAATGGAAATAATCATCAACTTACATAGTAGTCATCATTGATTTGTATCATGGGTGCGTTCACACAGGCTCCTAGGCATTCTACCTCAGAGATGGTCCACATCATATCTTTGCTGGTCTCACCTACTTCCAGGTTGAGGTTTTTTTTGACAGCGTCTAGAATTTGATCAGATCCTCTCAACCAGCAAGGAGTTGTTGTGCACACTTGTACGTGATATTTCCCAGTAGGTTTTCTACAAAGTTATTGTGTAGTTAATTTATAAACGGGTAATGTTGTAAGATAACTCATTTCCTGTTATTACTCAGTTTTGAAAATTTGGTTGAGGTCCTCAAATATGTATATTGCTTGTTGGTAAATAAAAAACTGATAATCAGATCAACTTGTTCATCCTACCTCATGAACATAGTGTAGAAGGTAGCAACTTCGTACACTCTCATCTTGGGCAATTTCAAAATTTCTGCGACTTTATGCATGGCAGAAATCGGCAACCAACCGTATTGTCTCTGGGCAAGGTCCAGTAAAGGGATCATTGCACCCCTCTTGTGGCCTTCAGGATAAATGGCAAGAATAGCCTCGGCCCTCTGAATAAAATATCAATTTCAGTTCTATATTACACATGAAAATGGTGACACTTCAACAACATACCTTTTTGTTTTCTGGGGTAAATTCAAAGGGAATGTCTGGGTTGTCTTCTGGAGTATCTCTGTGAACGAATAAGCTATCATGATGGACAGCTGTGGAAGTCTGTATGGATCTTATAGTCAAAGAACTTCGCTGAAAAAGAGGTTAAGTTATGTAATTGTTGAATGATTATAGCATTACCTGTCGCTCCCTAAAATTTTACACTAGAACTCACCAGACTATTAGATAACGATTTGATCGATTTCAACATTTTTGAAATAAATTCCAAATCGAGAATTACAACAAAAGTCCTGTTGCAAATTCGTTTATCAGTTATTTTGTGGTTAGTTTTTCATTTTTGACGTTTTCAAATTTCTTGTAGATTCCTGTAAAGCTGTATAGATCTATCTCTAGATGGCGGTATGGAATTGGAATGAGCGACATCTAGTTTAATATTTTGAACGTCTAAGTCATTGATGTAACAGATAATTTTCTCTGAGGATGTAATATATAATACTCACTTAGTATATATATATATATATATATACTATCTATGGTCAAGCTTAGTTTTTTATTTATTTATTCATCATGTTTTGGGCGTTCGATTATTCTCAGCGATGAAACATATAGTATTAAATTTTAATGAAATAATTTAGTTACATAAAGTTAATGTTCATCATATGAGTACTTGCGCAGTATATTATAGACCACACAAAGAATAGTGAAGTAACATTTCAAATTTCCATTACAGTCGTAAACTCATTTTTTATGTTATATTATATGTCAAATATCAGTGTTGACAACCACGAAACGCCTGAACCTGACAGAAGCATGTATAACCATTTTTAGGTGAATGTGGTTAATTTACTCATTGGTCCATTTGAAACATATTTTAATACCATCAGGAGACAACAAAGATGAATTAAACATCATTGGATAAACTCATTCGGCTGTAATAGAAAAAAATTGTTTTAAAGCCGTTACGTTTTAAATCTGGCAATACTGATGTCTAACCTAAAAATCTAGAAAACGTCAACGTCAACATATATAAACAAATTATTTATTAGTCATCCGAATAACCTTCGTCGTCGTCATCGTCGAGAAAAATCGGGTGTACGATAAAAACTAATCACTTAAAAATAGACTAGTGCGCTTCTCGCTTCCAATCTTATAGTATAAAATAAGCATCTTCGACCGCAAATACCTATTCTAGGCGTATATTTCGTGAAACGGTAAATAACCATGAGCGTATTAGGTTTTAACGATATTATTAACGGTCCGCTGGCCCAGTTCCTGCAAATTTCCTCCCAAATAGGGGGCGATGTGGGGGAGCACTCGAAGCTAGTGCAGGAGGCTTTCAACGCCCAACTGCAATTCGTCCAGCTCGCTACACAATCCTCTCAACCAGCCGCTAACGACTTGATGAACCTGTTGAAACCGACCAGCGACAAGATAAGCGCCATCCAAAATTACAGGGAGAAACACCGCACCTCCGAGTTTTTCAACCACTTGTCCGCCGTAAGCGAGAGCATCCCCGCCCTGGGATGGGTAACTATCAGCCCTGCCCCGTCCCCGTACGTGAAGGAGATGAACGACGCGGGCCAGTTTTATACAAACCGCGTCTTGAAAGACTGGAAAGAAAAGGATAAGAAGCATGTCGAATGGGTCAAAGCTTGGGTGCAAACGCTGAGCGATCTTCAGGCTTATGTTAAGCAGTACCACACCACTGGATTAGTTTGGTCAGGTAAGAGATCAGGTCTCAGTATCATTCGCAACCACATTGAAATAAGGGGGTTGAATACTTGTTTTGATGGGTCACACTAGTTTAAGAAAAATTTCACTTGGACTTACATACATATTTTTGCCTGTTGATCATGAATCTGGCATTCTGGTTTGCTTTTAAAGATACTGTTACTCAAAAGTTGTAACTCTCAATAGTTGTAACTCTCAATAGACTATTTCAGGAAGTAACTTCTGGTTATTAAAATTCGTAAAATGACACCTTCATTTCACCATTGTATACTATGGACCTTCATTCACCCATTTCAAAAATTTTCACAAAATAGGAACTTCTGTTTTCCTGTTTTGGCTTCATGTTGTAAAAGAAATCATCCTTTCACTAGTGTATTTGTTATTATTTCTTGGTAATCTCATGAAAAGTCAAAGTCAAGAAATAAAAATAATAATGTTGCCATGTTATGTAAAGATCAAACCATTTTTTTTATAAGCCTTATTCATTGCATTTAACGTGTCTTCTTTCAAATGAAACACTACGCAAATCAACAGTTCTAGTTTTCGGCGAATATTTCAAAAACAACCACTGATATTCTCAATCTGAAAAAAGATTATTCTTGTTCCACAAAATAACAAACTTTCGGAAAATTTAACCCGCCTTGTAGGTCTTACCGTTTCCAAGATAGCTATAGCTAAAAAAACTGCCTGTATATAAAAAATACATCAGTAGGGTTCATTGAAATGGTCTTCAATATATCAGTGTTCTAAATACATTCATTTGAACTTATTCAATGACATCACTTGAGGTGGTTCAAGTATTCACCAAACTGGTGATGTTTATCTAGAACAGGATGTAAGAACGTAATATAACTTTTAATCTTATCAGTGGAAGACCGTAAAATAAAACAATTTAACCTACTGTACCAGGCTGTTATTCCAAATGAAATTGAACAGAAAAAATATTTATTGAATGCAGTTATTTAAACTCACCTTCAGTTTATAGGTACATTCCTCATCTGTGTTAAAATATCTTAGCTAATAAGAGAATTGTAATGGAATCTCTTAAGTTATATTTGCAGGCTGCATATAATCATAGATGGGCGTCGCTTCGTTTGTCTCAATTGGATGACCTAACTTTGTTTGTATACGATTAGGGACAGGTAGCCAGATTTTATTATTGTTCATTGCCTCTTCATTTCTATTGAAATCATCCCTGTGGTTCTGAATTTCTTTTGCCTAAGGTTCTCTGGAGCCCTTAGCTGCCCTCAACAAGCTTGACTGTCGTTAGGGTTATTATTGTTTGGGTTTCCATTGGGAATTGGATTTTTGTGTTAAGGTTGTCAAGCATTTACAATATTATACTCACAAAATATTTATAAAACCATGATGTTACAACTGATTCAACATCGTTGCATGCCTTTGTTGGTGGGTGGTACTTAAACAACACATCGATATTTGTTTCAATATTTATTTCGTATATACAGGGTGTATGTACAGGTGGACGACAGATGCTTTAATAGTGGGGTTAGAAAAAAAGTGTCTGAATTAAAAGTTGTAGAGAGTTTTGATTTATCACAGTGTTTTTTAATAGAACCCCCTATGTATTTTTACTTGAATTATTTTGCTCAAGAGAGTCATTTCAAAAACATATGGTCGTTTGGGTTTATACGCGGTTGTCTTGAAGTTATCTTGAGATTTATTTCTCAAAATGAGTTTTTCTGCACCCTATATCTCGTACTTAGTCGAATTGAATGAGAAAAAAATTCAACCAAAAGGGCCTTGGGACTAGTTTATTTTCGTTTCCTATTCATGATTTTACCAAGTGGCGCTTTCTGCATACAGGGGTAATCAAAACTCTGGATCATTTTTTTTAGTTTTTTCAAATGAAACACATGCTGAAAAGAAGGCCATATGAGTCTATTGAAAACTCTTTCGTTACACCAGAACAAAAAATACGGTCTCTCGACGCGCATTTTGCTAACCAAGTTAGCATCATCAGGAGATGACCTGAACGCTATATTATCAGTTATGTAACCAAGTTAATAATTGAATTGTTATAAATATAGGAATCCTAATATACATAGTACTGTTATAACAATCACATTTTGAAAATACAAGCAAAAGTATAACAAGAATAATAAAAACAAATAAAATCAGAGGATGGAGTGTACAACTCCCGATAGACCAATGAACTGAAGAGCTGATATAAATGTGGAAGATATGTTAAACTCAAACATATTTTTCTTTCAGATATTTAGTTAGACGGTTTTTAAAAATTAAAATATATAAGACCAAATAAAGAGATATTCGAAATAGGGCCTTTGTCGCTATTCATAGAACTCATTCCGCACTTTTCGATTTCCAAGCTTTCGAAGGCATCCAGAAACCTGTTGTCATGTACTGGTCGCAATTTCAAACATTTCTCACTTATTCTGTGGTCGTTCTCTACAGCATGTTGAGCGACAGTAGATTTCTCCGGTCTATGAAACTGAACATGCGAAACATGTTCCTTGTAGCGTTTGGTTTGACCAACATATTTCTCAACAGACAATCCTAGCTGCTTATTTCGTAAATCCCAGATTTTTTTTCCGTCTTGTCTTTCGGACTGCCCAACACTTGTTGAAGTGTATGTACAGTTTTGAAAGTCCCTCTTATATTCAATTTTTTGACCAACCCATTGGTTCATATGGAGGCACTCAAATAATGAAACTTTACATCAAGTTAATTGTACTAAATTCTTAGGTGTTGATATTGATAATAAAATTACCTGGAAGTTCCATGTTGATAGTGTCAAACTGAAGGTCAGTAAACATATATATTTACTTCGTCGATTGAAACAAACAGTCTCTCTTGATGTTCTCAAGTTTTTATACCACAGTTTAATTCAGTCAGTAGTTTCCTATAGGCTCAAACAGTGGGGCTTATCAGCTAAAGCTGATGAAGTTTTTGTTATTCAGAAAAAGGTAATCAGAATTCTGGCTGGTGCATCATCAAGTGAACACTGCAGGCCATTATTCATTCTTTATAGTTTGTTAACAATGCTTAGTTTGTATATCTACCAAACTCTGATATATATATAAAAAACAATATTTTAATTATTCCTAGAAATGAGCAAATACATGAACATTTCACCAGAAATAACTCTCAAATACATCAACCTTATAGTAGATTGACAGTATCAAAGAATCACCCCATGGGCGTTGGTGTTAAGCTATATAATGAGCTTAGTGAGGACATTAAATCCTCAAATGTCAATGTCTTTAAAAGGTGACGTAAGATTTTTCCATTGCAAAAAGCATACTACTCTGTGGATGAGTTTCTCCTCGAATCCTAATTTGATTGTAGCTTATTAACTTTTTTTTTATGTTGACATTTTTATATTTGTTTGACCTGTTGAATCAGCCAGTATTTTATGATGATGTTATGTTTTTTTTTGTCTAATGTGATTGTGAAGGAAAACTGATTCAATAAATGTTTGATTGATTGATTGACTATGAATTTTGAATCTTCCTCTTTTTCAAAAAGTTGAGGCATTACGAAGATACTCTCTAAATTTTTGTTTTCTTATTAATTTATACACTATATCTACTATCAAGGCCATATGAGAATAGACCACACTATGAGCTTTCAGAAAATGTAGTATATGACTACTTGAGGAGAATTGTTTAGGAAAATTTGAAAAAGCTGTTGAAGCAATAACGATTTTGGTTACAAAATACTCTTGAAAAGGCTTAATCTACGAAAGATGTTCAAACACTATTCCATTTTGAGCTATGTATAAATTAAGTCCATCTTCTATTTCTTCTCCGACTTCAATTAATGATTAGGCTCGTCCTTTAAGGACATTTGAGTCCAGCAATGCATTTGTGGTTCAGCCTAGTACCACTGATGAGACCGGGTGGGTCCAAACAGCGCTATCTAGTGTTGAATTATAAGTGTGTCGTGTTTGGGCTTTAATTTATAACTAGTTGCCTTTCAGCAAGAGCCGCAGTAAAATATAGCACTGTCTGTCGATGTCAAAGCTTGGTTTTGCAGCTGACCGCTTTGGGGAGCCTCATTTATCTTTGACATTCCATGATTTAGTTCTCTGTCAAGCCCATAGATGGCGTATTCGTAGGGGGAGATGTCATTGCCTCAACACACTCATTTGGATATGAATGGCCATATTAAACAATTTTTATTTCTCATTATTGAAGTTGAAGTAAAATATAAGCTGAAAGATGAAATTTGAGGTATGACTATGCCCTAATATTTTTAAAATGGTAAAACTCGTGTACGTTTTGGCTTTGTCCAAATTTTCCTTGAGTCAGTTTTTTTTTCACAATTGAACTGCACTATGACAAAAATCCTGGCCATCTGAATATGTCAAGAGTGCATATGTCTGTGTTTTTGTCAATACCTTTACATACAATTGTCAGTGGAAAATTATCCAATTTCAAATTTTTTGTGTTGTGTTGAATGTAAAAGAAATGATAGTGTCGGGGAGAATAGACAATTTTATTGTGGACTTCAGTTTTTAATCATGAAACCCAAGGTAAATAATTGCAAAAATGATTCATTAACACTACAAAAGGTAATTCATCATGTTGTTTGATAGATAAAAAAGTCACATGACTAAGTGAGAAGATAAACATGGAAATAATTGCCTTTTATAGGAGTATTATAAAGATCTGATTTTTTTCTCGGATATGCTTTGAATATCTAATCTTTCAAAGGAGTGGTGTTTATTTTGATCTCTTAAATATGTCGTGTTTTGTAGGCAGGCACTTAATTCAACTCCTGTTGAATAAATATACTTATGCAACCTTTGTTTTTGACGAAATCAGGAGTTCTGCCAAAAGATGAAGTAAAAATAAACTCATTTCAAATTGATTCTAGTATATAGTGTGCGGCACCAAAAACGAAACGGATCGAATATCTTCAAGACATTTGTTTGGAGGTGGTTGACAATCTGCAAGACACATTTGTCGAGAAAACTAGCCAGAAATAGTTAGATTTTCATAACCTCAT